GCTGGATGTGTTCCAAGGAATAACCGCCCCAGTTGAAGCTATTCGCAAGCTAAACGGGTCTTTTTCAAGTACTACATTTTTGTCAATCCTATCCCAATCAGCGCTTCTTTAAATACACACGTGGCAATCAGAATATACTTAGACCGGGACAAGACCCACCTGGAGTATAAACTGGCTAAAATGTAAACGTGCAACTAGGTACCAGACTCTTTATCCTGATACGCGATTTGTTCCGTTCTGACGTGACTGTGGTTTGCAAATCAGAAATGAATAAACCGGTCTTGCATTCAGGCTCTGAAGCGAGGAATGACAGCAGAACCGGATGAGCTCCCTATCACTCTTTTCAAGATGAGGGGTGAGAACCTAGTAAGCTGTATTACTACCTTACGGTACTACATTTGGACGCAGGAACGCATTCCTTCATCTTGGTACGAATCACTAATCGTTCCCATTTTCAAGAAAGGATCTCACGAGGATCGCGAAAACCACCGCGGGATAAGTTTTGATCCCGATCGTCACCAAAGTGTTAGCTTCGGTCATACTTCGACGTCTGATTCCCTTAAGAGTGACTGATATCCGTGACCAGCAAGCCGGAATCCGGCCTGGCTGTGGATATATTGATCAGATTCTTACGCTGCGTCACACCCACCGTCGATCAACGATCGCAGTGTTCCTTGACCGGAAAGGAGCGTTCGACTCAGTTGATCGCGAAGCTCTGGTGGATTCCCTTCTTGGAAAAGGAATGGCCCAGGAGTACGTTAGCTTATTGAGGTCACTGTACTCGCATACCTCTTGTCGTGTAAGGGTCTATGATGAACTAAGTAGGCCGTTCATCACCAGCATTATCACCATCATTGTACAGCGTAATACAGTGATACGAACTTCAGTGATCGCTGCCAAACTCATATTGCATACAAGATAGATGAGAATACGTAAGGAAGACAGGAACTGGGTCTATTTTTAGGGACGGGAAAAGAAGGCGAACCTCTATGGTCAACACACAGAGTACACCGCTGAACTGTGCATGCATACTATCTTAAGCATTCTGGTGTGATAAGAAGTGACAGCGAGATCGCCATTACTGTCGGTTCGCAGCCATGACCTTCAGTGTCTCCAACCATGCGGTTTCGGAGTCTTTTGGACCCCAACCCGGAAGACGAAAGACACCTATTCTACGTTTCTTTATGCCTCGTGTCCACATTATCTATGTTTACGTAGTTTGGCGCGGGTTGGATTGAACGAGCCTTCACCCTACTCAGAGGTAATCCATCGGTAATGATCCAGTGGAAAGTTTGTTATCACATCGAATTGATATAAATGATTTTCATACGTATCGTTTATGCCGAGCTGTCGTCTACCTCATGGCACCTTATTCGCAGTTACTGTTCCTGTACGTGAGGTCGTTTTGTGAAGATACACTTCAACAAATACTGCTTGACATCGAAGTCGACAATTGCCACTAGGTAGCAGTTTACATGTATTCACCTATCTAGGAAGGACATTCTGTCAAAACTGAGGAGACATTTTCGAATGCCTCTGGGGGTGTTGTTTGTTTCCATTATGTCAGCGTTTCGCTTTGTTGTATCACTCCAGCATTATCATCGTATAGTGAAATACAACGAAGCGAACTTCACTGATTGTTGTCAAATACCAGTCGGTGACCCATCGGATTTCATGCACCTCATCATGCGTGGTTTAGAATCGGAGTTGCCAACTCCGCTGGTAGAGTGACTTTTCCACCCGGTCTATCACCCAGAGATTGACTTTTCGCTGTTTCACTTCGACGAAAGCGCCTTCGCCGTGAAAAATCAGTGAGTAGAACTTCACCGGCGGAGTGTGAATGCAGATCGTCAAGAGGCGTTTTACGGGAATTCCAGGACGATGAAACCCGTTTATGAATACTCTTACCTCCCTATCATGAGGAGTTTGGGGCGTGATACATTATTCTTTATCACTATGGCATGTCTCGTGCTTTTGTGTTATTAAAACATATTTGATAAAGAGTATGAGGTTGACAGTACTAAATGGAGTTCGCCGTATCCTAGTTCACAGTATGACGATAGTGGTACCAAAAATGATGTTACTGCTGCTGGTTCATTATCTTCCTACCGGTGTCCAGGTTACTAATTGTACGATGTATCATGAAGTTGGTAGTAACACACGCATCATCTCTGATCAAAACTGTCTTGACAGTGGACCTGAGCACTGCCATTTTTGCGCGGAATTTCCACACGTAATCGCCATCCAATTGTCTGCAAAGACTGAACGGACTTCATATTTTCTTCAGCGCAAGATTAAGCCAAGTGGGGCTGGGCCATTCTTCCTTCTTACACAAAATGTAAAAGTCGAAAATGATCATCGTTCTTACCAAACTGGTTGAATTCGAATTTTGTGCGTAGCTTTATGTTCGTCATTCTCGTTTTCTTCTTAAATGCAAAACAGTTCTCAATGTTTATCTCGAACTCTCTTGATTGCTTGTTTTAATTGCCAGTTTCTTACATTCCTTACTGTGCCCAATTTTGATTTTGATTGAGTGGTCTTCCTGAAGTTGTCAATTTTGAACAACGATAACGCATTCATATGATGTATGGTCTATCATTTATCCTTATAGTTGTTGGAACACGACGAAATCGACAAATATGTACAGGCTATCGAGAAGGAGCGAGAAGAAGAGGCGGAGAGAAAACGGCAAAAGAAAGAGGCAACAACTGCTCACTAACTCTCTTTCCCGTGCCTTCTTACTCATTCCCGAAGATCGAAAGAAAAAGTAATACAGTTTATACTGTTTTATACAACGTGTTCTATCTCGGTTTAGGAGATAGGTACGAATGAAGGAAGACATTCAGAATGGACTTTCCCAGATCATCGTTTCTTGAGTAACCGGGTTTTTGTGAATGGTCAGAATAGAGCACTTAGTTGTCCTCGTCACTGGCATCACTGAGACTAGCTTCCAAAATAGGATCATCAAAACCGGGTGATTCAACCATATCCACATCGCTTTTTGGGCCATCTGCACTTCCGGTCATTGCGGCTGGTGAGAGATTAAGTGCATCATGTAGGTTGTCGAGTGTTTTACGATCAAGATAACGCGCGATTGACTGATTCGTGATTTGTAATCGTTCACGCATCTCTTCCATGCAAGCGAGAGCCTAAAACACAAATAGAAATTAAATTCACGATAAAACATTCTGTATTTGGAGAACAATAGCGTTTAGCGCTTGCAGATTGAGGATAGTAAATGCTCACTACATTCACTTGACATCGATTTTTAAAGCTTTTCTGATTGCCTAATAAATCATTCCACAATATATGCACACGTATTTTACTTGGGTCACAGGAAACTGAAAGCTTGTATATAACTCGGTAAAGCTTCAATACAATACAAACACAGGGTTTTTTTGGTCACCAAGGCAGTTCTGTTTTGCTATAGTGCAACGGATGACGCCCCGGTCTAGACAGAATCACTGTTCCTAATTGGGAACCGAGTAACAGTAACGCGATGCTAACGTAGGATTTCCATGTGACGAAGTGAACTCACGGCCTGATATTTCTCCTTGGCAACAAATTCGCGAATCATTGCCGCGTAAATGTCCCCCGGACGCAGAATGTCTCCTGGTTCTGTGTGCTCCAGCAGGGTTTGACAATTGCGCATTGCTTCCATCGGGTTGACGGAGAACAATCTATGAAAAATAGTTATGGAAGTTACGTAATTTGGCTAGTGAGTTTAATACGATTCCGATACAGTGCTACTTTCTCTCCGTCGGTTGCATACAAATGCTTCGACATGATATATCATTATGGTTGGTAAATATTAGACTGAAAAAAACAACCACGAGAGCCTGTGAAGGTCGCTAGGTAGAAAGAAATTCGAGTAGTATGACATTTCAAATCGTTAGTTTTAGTTTACACAGCCTTTCACTCCCTCGCGCCGGTTTTCGTTGCTCTCTTTTGGCTGCCCAGGTGCAGAGTTTTAGGTATGCGCGGTCGTCCGCTGAAACGTGGGTGACCTCCACATACTGCGTTCGTTGGTGGCATCTGCTGCGCACATCGCTAAGTAGATTGCCATGGCGCGTACTGTTTCATCAGGGTGTTGGGTGGAAAAACTAAAGGACGCAGACCTGGCATGAGGGTGGAAACCCCTGACCTGGAGACTTACTC